AGGGTGGCCTTGAACTCACAGAGATCCACCTGCACCCAGCCTCTTTACTTATTCTTAACAGGGTATTTTAGCTCGTTTGTAATGATTTGGGACATACCTGATAACTATGCTCATGGTTTTTATATCTTGTATAATAGTGCATAAATCTGTCAAGTTCCTGAAACCGTTTATGTTTCTTCTCAGCCTAGGAAACAAAAGTACATAAATGACTTTTATTGAAACTATTCTTAAAATTGGTTTGAGAGGGATTAATGTTTCATTAGTATTGAGTAGCAATGCATGCAGATGTATTTATTATTTTGTTGCTAGAATATAATAATCAATGCATCTTAAAGTTGTCTGTATCCTCTGTGATAAAACAATGAACCCCTGACTCTACATCTCCAATTTTGATTGTATGGCTTACAACTATAGATAGATTTGTATCCCTTCAAAATTCACATTGAAGCCCTAACCCAAAATGTGACTTGCATCTGGAGTCAGGACCTATGAGGAGGTGACAGGTTAAGTGCGGCCATTATTATAGAGCTATCCTAATGGAAACGGACACCATAGATTTCTTGTTCTATTTCCCAGCCATCATGACAGAGACCAGAAAGTAGGGGCCTGCTGGCAAGCCGAGACGAGCATCCTCACCAAGAAAAAGTCAGGTGGAACTTTTCTTAGACTTCATAGTCACCACAATGGAGAGAGACTGAAGAGCTGGCTGGCTCAGTGCTTAAGAGCAGTGGCTGCTCTTCCAGAGGACCTGTGTGTGATTCTCAGCACCCATATGGTGGCTCACAACCACCTGTAACTACAGTTTCAGGGGATTTAATACCCTGACCATGGACACTATGTATATGTACACATAGATACACATGCAGGCAAACCACCCATACATAAAATAAAAAATTAAAAAAAAATTATCTAGGCTATAGTAGACAAGCAAAGTAAGACAACTGAGGGGATTGGAGAGAGAGCTCAGTGATTAAGAGCACTGCCTACTTTTCCAGAGGATCCTGGTTCAACTCCCAGCACACAAATGGCAGCTTACAACTACAGCTTACAGTCCTAAGTGATCCAACACTGTCTTCCAATCTCTGTGAGCACCATGCAGGCATAAACATGGTATATAGACATATATGCAGGCAACAACCACACACATATATACTATATTATACTGTATTGCTGATATTATACTAAAACTGATTTTAAATCTTTACAAAGGCAGGCTGGAATTAGATATTTTTCATATTTTCATCAAAAAAAAAAAAGAAAAAATCAAAAGAAAAAAGCTCCCAATTTTATTTTATTTTATTTTTTGCTTAAAGGGCACTCTAAAGTGTATTCAATGTAATGCCCCATCACAATGAAGACATGTAAACCTCTCCCACAGTAGCTTGGAATACACAACTTAGGCAGGCGTTACCTCCACAGTCATCTCCTTGGATTGCTCCTCGACATGCTGGATGACTTCATAGCGAGTACACCTGTAATAACCTCCAGTGGAAGAACTATGTTTTTTCCATTCTTCTAGGCAAATCCAGCAAAAGTCATACTTGCACTTTAAAAGGAAACATATGTAGATATCCCCATATATTAACTAAAAATTCACTCATTAAGTAGACCATAATTAGAAGACAATTGTACAATTATAAAATGAAAATTCATCTTTTTAGGCTTATGGGTTCTGTATCAAAAAGATCTTCGAAGTCTACACTCTTCTGATACGTTTCTCAGTACTTTGGGTTCTGGTTCATTCATTTATTTATTTTTAAACATTTAAATCTTGGGTCTATCTTCTGTAATATGACCTTAACTTTAGAGCTGTCTAGTTATCACGATACCATGTACTGAATACTTCATGTTTCCCCGCTGGTTATATATCTGGTCATACACTGCCATCACCACACGTTAAATCCCCTTGTATACATCTATTTCCTAGGCTGCTTTCTATTCTGTTCATACTCTGTGTACTCCCATGCCAGTACCATACATAGTGCTTCAAGTATTGAGGTTTCATGGCATACATCTTACAAGGCTAGCTCCCCTGCTATCTTTGTTTTTCAGCATTTTCCTAATTAAATTTGCTTTGATTTACCATATGAGCATCTGAACGAAGTTTCCTGGATGCAGAAAGACAATCTGCTGGCATTTTTCTTTGCTATCTTTTTTGTCTTAAAGAGGATTTGAAATGATTTTCAACAAAAGTCTTGCATATTCCTAAATCTTATTTTAGATTCAGAAGGTCTATCTATTTCATCTAGATGTTGTCAGGAGACATGAGAATTCTTATTTTCTGCAAGTTAATTTTGTATTTTTGCTACTAAGCTGAATTTATATCGCTAGTAGTAGTATATTTCTAGGTATGTAATCATGCCTTCTGTAAGTGTGATAGGTCTGTTTTGTTTTTGAGACAGGGTCTTGCTACATAGCTCAGGCTAGCTTTGCATTCATGACCCTTCTGCCTCAGCATGTAACATGCTAGGATTACAGGTGTGTACCACTACATGCAGCTTGAAAATACAGTCATATTATTACTGTAGTTTCAGTTTTGTATGCTCATTTCTTGTTCCCAATTATTTCTAGTTTCTATATTAAATAGTCTGATTCTTTAATCCTCTGTTCCCCTTTTATCGTATATCTGAAATCCTTCATTATGTTAGCTTAGTGGTTTAAATTAGCTTTCTTTCAAAACCTAAGATTTCTTGCTACATTGGTTATTTCTTTTTTGTTGTTCTTTTCCCCTCAACTCCTGACAGGGTATCTCTGTGTATCCCTGGCTGTCTGGGAACCCACTATGTAGACCAGGCTGGCCTCGAACTCAAAGATCTATCTGCTTCTGCCTCATAAGTGCTGGGATTACTGAAACTAATAGAAGAGAAGGTGGGGAAAAGCCTCGAATACTTGGGCACAGGGGAAAAGTTCCTGAACAGAACTCCAATGGCATATGCTCTAAGATCGAGAATTGACAAATGGGACTTCATAAAATTGCAAAGTTTCTGTAAGGCAAAGGACACTGTCAATAGGACAAAACGACAACCAACAAATTGGGAAAAGATCTTTACCAATCCTTCATCTGATAGAGGGCTAATATCCAATATATACAAAGAACTCAAGAAATTAGACTCCAGGCAACCAAATTACCCTATTAAAAAATGGGGTATAGAGCTTAACAAAGAATTTTCAACAGAAGAAACTCGAATGGCCGAGAAGCACCTAAAGAAATGCTCGGCATCCTTAGTCGTCAGGGAAATGCAAATCAAAACAACCCTGAGATTCCATCTCACACCAGTCAGAATGGCTAAGATTAAAAACTCAGGTGATAGTAGATGCTGGCGAGGGTGTGGAGAAAGAGGAACACTCCTCCATTGTTGGTGGGACTGCAAGATGGTGCAATCACTTTGGAAATCAGTCTGGCGGTTCCTCAGAAAATTGGACATAGCATTACCCGAGGATCCAGCTATACCACTCCTAGGCATATACCCAGAAGATGCTCGAACATATAATAAGGACATATGCTCAACTATGTTCATAGCAGCCTTATTTATAATAGCCAGGAGCTGGAAAGAACCCAGATGTCCTTCAACTGAGGAATGGATTCAAAAAATGTGGTATATTTACACAATGGAGTATTACTCAGCTATTAAAAACAATGAATTCGAGAGGTTCCTAGGTAAATGGATGGAACTAGAAATTATCATCCTGAGTGAGGTAAGCCAATCACAAAAGAAGACACATGGTATTCACTCACTGATTATTGGATATTAGCCTAGAACCTTGAAATGCCCAAGATGCAACTCACAGGCCACATGAAGCCCATAAAGAAGGAAGACCAAGTGAGGGTGATTCGGTCCTTCTTAGAAGGAGCAACAAAATACTCAAGGGAGCAAATATGGAGACAAAGTGAGGGACAGAAACTGAAGGAGGGGCCGTCTCAAGACCACTCCACCTGAGTATCTATCCCATGTGCAATCACCAAAGGTAGATGCTGATGTGGAAGACAGGAAGTGCATGCTGATAAGAGCCTGATATGGATATCTCCTCAGAGGCCTTCAAGAGTCAGACATATTCAGAGGCAGATACTCACAACTAGCCATTGAACTGATCATGGGGTTCTCAATAGAGGAGTTAGAGTGAAGACTGAAGGAGCTGAAAGGGTTTGTGGCACCATGAGGAGAGCAACAATACCAACCAACCACAGCTCCCAGGGTCTAAACCACCAGCCTGGGAGCACTTAGGGGGGAATCCAGGGCTTCAGCTGAATATGTAAAAGTGGAGGGCCCTGCTGGGCATAGGTGGAAGAAGAGAACCTTGACCTCATGAAGGCTGGATGCCCCAGGGGGTGGGAATTTTGAGGGTGGGGAGGTGGGAGTGGGGGGGTGTAGATAGAGGTTACATCCACAGAGAAGAAGGAGGAGGGGCGAGGGGATTGGGGGTTCCGAGGGGGTGGTGGGGGATGGGGTAAGGGGACAACATAGGAAATGTAAATAAATCATCCAATAAAAAAAAAAATCATTACTTTTAAAAACTATTTTCTGCCTTAAAAATGTTCTCATGGGAAAGGAGATGAGGGAAGGGGAACTGGGAGGAGAAGGGGCCAGATATTTGGATATAAAGCGAATAAATAAATAAATTAATGAAAAAATTGTTCTTACTGGTGTTTGTTAATTTATTTATTTTTTTAAAAAACTGAACCATATTCGCAATTTAATGTTTATTTTGTATTATTTTAAATGAGCATTATTTCTGCATAGTTTTAGCTGTAGCACTCAGGTTCTAATAAAGTAGTATTTTCACTTATAAATTCTATAATTTCTTGAGTTATTTGAAAGACTAAAAATTTCCATGGCATTTTAATAACTTCATTATTAATTTCTAACTTATTCTTTATGACCAAGAATATTACTTGTACTAATTTTTTATTTTGATTATAATAAACATTTAAAATTATTGATTTAACAGCCAATACTTAAAGATTATGTTTTTCTCTGATGAACTCTCAGGGAAGGCCCTGTTGCATAGGCACTTAAAAGATGACACTGTTAATATTTTTAGGAAATAATTTGAATATATATATGTATATATATATATATGTGTGTATGATCAGTAACTGTTACTTTTACATAGTTTCTATTTCTTCACTACTTTTTGTATTCATTTATCATTTAACACACACTTATTCAATAAATTGGACTTGTTTCAAAGTTCTACACAAAGTCTTTTCCTGGTTGACAAAAGCAAACTTTGTGACTGCTTTGATACAGATTCCCTGCCATGTGGCTTTATTGATTTTTCAAAATTAGTGGGAAAATTTCTAAATTCTAAATAAATTAACTAGATATTAGCAACCACAGTAGAAAAATACAATATAGAACTTTATTAATACTTTTTATTTTTTAAGTTTTAACACAAGTTTTCCATGGTGACAGATGAAGGACATTTCTATATTTAAAATATTAAAATGTAATTTAAAATATTTAAAAATGAAAGATTTGCACCCCAAGTGAGGTAACCCAGACACAGAAAGGCGAACATGGTATGTATTCATTTATAAGTGGACATTAGCGGTTAGTAAAGGGATCACACTACAGTCCACAGACCCGGAGAGGCTATAACAAGGAGGGCTCTAGAGGGGAACTCATGATTCTCCCTGGGAAAGGGAAATTAAATAGACTTTGTGGCTATTCTGGGGACAGGTAGGGATGGGACAGGAGAAATCGGGTTGGGGGGAGGATGGCGGGAGAAATTATAGGGAGAGATGACCAGAATTTGAGTGGAATATAGGGGGCCATGTGGAAACCTAATGCACTGGAAATTCTCTAGAACCTATGAGGGTGACCATAGTGAGGACTTGTAGTAACGGAGGACATGGAGCCAGACCGGTGATCTCCTAGGTTTCCAGTAGTGAGACCAGGACACCAACCTAGCCACAAAAACTTGGACTTATAATCTGTCCCAGCTGCAAGATATGCTGGGGCGATGGTTGCACAGAACTTGTGAGAGTGGCCAAGCAATGACTCATCTGACTTGAGGTTTATGCCATGGGAAGGATCCCATGCTCAACACTGTCTAGATGGCCAGGACCTGGAGACTGGGTACCTCAGAGACCTAGGGTAGAACCAAACAGGACTGCGCTCCCCTCTCCTCAAAAGAAATCAATGAAATGATTCCTAATGATAATCTGCTACACTCACAGATCAATGCCTAGCCTAATCATTATCAGTGAGGCTTCATCTGTCAGGTGATGGGAGCAGAGATCCACAGCCAAACATCAGGTAGAGAGAGAGACAAAATTGGAGATCTCCATTAGGTCCTTCTCCCTAGAGCTCATCGATTCCTTCAGAAGAGGGAGAGGAAGGGACTGTAGGAGTCAGAAAGGTCAAGGAAACCAGGAGAACACAGCCCACTCAATCAACTAAGCAGGGCTCATAGGGGCTCACAGAGACTGAAGCAGCAAGCACAGAGCAGGCATGGGTCTGCACACCAGGTCCTCTGCATACATGCTGTGGTTATTTAACTTGGGTTTTTTTGTGGGACATCTAACAGTAGGAGATGGGGTGTCTGACTCTTTTGCCTGCTCTTGGGACTTTTCTTCCTACTGAGAGTTGCTCTGTCTAGCCTTGGTATGAGGGTTTGTACCTAGTCTTATTGCATCTTGATATGCCATGTTTGTGGTTTGGTCGATATCCCTGGGAGGCCTGCTCTTTCCTGAAGGGAAATGGAGGAGAAGTGGATTGGAGGTGGCGGGGGCAGGGTGAGGTGGGGTGGGGGAGGATGTTGGGGGTGTGTGTGCAGGACTGGAGTGAGTAGAGGCTTTGGTTGGGATGTATTGTATGAGAGAACAATAAACAAAAAAGAGAGATTTTATTTATTTAAATGTGTATATGTGTCTCTGTTAGCATGCACATGTATGTGTGCTTGGGTGCCCAGGCCTGTACAGATGCCAGAAGATGTTGGAACCCTTGGAGCTGGAGTTACAAGCATTTGCAAGATTCCTGGCTTGCTACATGGGTACAGGGATCTGAAGTCCAGTCCTCATGATTGTACACCAAACACTCTTAATTTCTGGCCCATCTTGCTATTCCCCCTAATATTGAATATTATACCTCAAGAAACATTGGATGGTGACAGGTGCCGAATAGCATCTGGCCAGGAGGTCCCCTTGGCCACTAGACAGGGTTAGGGTGTTCCTGGGGGCTCAGGAGAGGGAGCTGGTGATCCTCCGGCTGAGAGCCTCCAGCTCTTTCTTTTCCCACTAGGGGCCAAAGCAACTAGGGACTCAGAAGTCCAAGCAGGGGTAAGAGGAGGACCTAGAGTGGAAGGAGGAGCTAGAGGATAAAAGGGATGGAGTGGGATGGGGTGGGTGAGGTTATGATACAGCAGTCTCATTAAAAATGTAAAACAAATTAAAAATTTTCTGAAGGGAAATAAAAAGTGTTTTTTTTTTAAATAAATTGGTTTATTTTCAGATGAACAAACATGCCATTATTTTAAAATTCAAACAAGTTGGATTTCAGACAATGCAAACTGTCTGTTATAATCCACACTGAACCATCAATGGCCCAGACAGATTATGAAGTTGTTCAGACTATAGCATGGATTCAACTTTCCATGGCACCTTCTATTTACATACTTGAATTCTCTAATAGGATTCCACTATGCATGAGGTTATCGTCCAGGTAAGTTTTCTAAGTCAAAATAAGAATACCACTTTTGATTTTCTTTTCTTTTTTTTTTGTTTTTCTTTCCTATTTGGAGACAGTCTCACTGTGTAACTCTAACTGGTCTAGAGCTTGCTATGTAGACCAGGCTGGTCTCACAGATGACCTGCCTCTGCCTATAGAGTGCTGGGATTAAAGCCATGCACTACCATGGCTTTATAAACTACTCAGTTTATATTTTCCATCTCAATAATTAAAATAGTACATAAAATAAGGTTCTTACATTTACAGATCTTGTAAATAAATGTTTGTCTTAAATCCCAGAGAATCTCAAGACACAGCTGTTTAAAGGTACCTCTGTATGATCAGTTTGATTACTTCATGAAAACATCCTTCCAGTATTTATCCGTATTTATCAGGTACTCACTACTGTGCTGGGAAGGACAGAAAAGTAAGGCTGGTGTCTACCCCAACAGTCAGCTATTGATCGCTTATGGTCAATATATACTTCTCTGCACATTTAGGAAATCTACATCACATTTTCTAAGAACAAAACCAAACACGGATTTGGAAACAGAACAGCATGAGACCATATTTAGAGAAAATAATTTTGTCCAGTTCTTAGCTGAACTAAAATTGGGTAATTTTCTCAGAAACAAACAGCAGGCCTTTTCCTTTTGCCCCTCACGGATTCAATGCTGCCTCAAGAAGCCCATTTTACTATAATATAAATGTGTGAGATAATTTTGTAACTTCCATTCTTTTGCAAGTTAAGATTCAATGAGCATTGGCTCAAGGTGAAAAAAATCAAATATTTTTAGAGTATATATTTTATTAGTCTTAACTATTTTAATTTCTTTCACTTTCTAAATGAGAAAATGTATATTGTCTTAATATTTTAAAACATCATTTAAAAACCTAGATGGTGCTTTTAATAAAGGAAAAAATGAGAGTATTACTACAGTTTTCAAACAAAACACTGAAATAGAGGCATGAATTATAGTATTAACCTTATTCCAAGATTGTTAAAAACGTAGGTAACTTCATTTCTGCAATGAAATCAGGAGAGCACAGACTTCTTTTCAATCCTTTAAAGGTTTCAGCTAAGTGGATCTCTTAAGGCATTTTATGTTTTCAATGTAGTAAAGAACTGAATTCTTTATTTAGTTGATGAATTTATTAGCAGAACACCATCTTGCTCTGTAGCACAAACTAAATTAAGACTTTAAGGACAAAGCATGGAGATGTGTGTCACCATCTTACCTTGGCACACTGCATGTGATTGCAGCCCTCGTTCTTCTGTATTGGAGACTTACAGTTCGCACAAGGCTTGGAGTTAGTTAACAGCCAGAGACAATTGGCAGCGTCCTCATAGGCTTCACTGACTCCAACAACTTTGAGATATTGAGCACAAACATAATACACGGTTAAGCACACAACTCCACAGAGTGGGAACTAGGCATTTCTTTGCAGGCTCTCTCCATGGTACTTATGTGTTTGTTTTTCCTATCAGTGTCTAGGGTAAGATTTTAAAACTTCTCCATTTTCAATACTATAGAAAGTTCTGTTCCAACATTTTTAGAAAATATATTTGAAAAGAAATTCCTCTATAAATCTACACAAATAAAAATGGGAAAGAAGCAAAGGCTTTTTCTTTTTTTGAAGAGAATGTGCTTTGTTTAAAGTAATTATTCAAGAAAATTATAGAAAGAGTGGTTACCTTAGACCAGCAGTTCTCAATCTGGGGATCGAATGACCCTTTCACAGGAGTCCCCTAAGGTCATTGGAAAACACATATTTTGGATGGCCTTAGGAACTGAGACACTGCTCCCCCATCTCTAGGTGGGTGCACCCATATGTAGGCATGCCCACACACAGGTACCTGGAACTGTATTGAAGGGTTGCAGCATTAGAAGGTTGAGAACCACTGTGTTAGACTATCGTCTCTTTTAGACTGTAATTTTATATTGTGTGTATGAATGTTTTGCCTGCATGTATGTATCTGCCTGGTGCTTGCAGATGTCAGAAAAGAGTATTGGATCCCTTGGAACTGTTTGTAGATGGTTGTAAGGTACCTTGTGGGTTTGAGAACCAAATCCAGATCCTCTGCAAGAGTAACAGGTGTTCCTAAACATTGAGGCATCTCTCCAGCCCCTAAACTATAATTTCTTAAAACAGGCTAATTGCAAACAAAAGGATCAGGGATTCTTCATAGTGGAAAGCATTAAACACCAATATCTGTTTTGTGAGACAGGGCTTGTCCAGGCTACTTACAAATTCAGAACCTGGCCCTCAGCCTCCTGAATGCAACAATTACACAAGAGTACCACTTTTCCCTCTTCTTCTTCCTCCTCCTCCTCTTCTTCTGTTTTTAATCTGTGATTACTTCAGATAAGCAAACCCAACGTGGTATGCCTACAACTAAATTCTTCTCTCCAGATCTGTTTC